AAAAAAAAAAAAAAAAGATGTGCAAAAGAATTGCCAAGTCATACCACTAGTTTTTCCACTTAGTGCATTTTTTTCCTTTGGCTCACAATACAGTCCAGGATACTTTAGCTGTCATGTATTAGTCTTCCAATCCTTGACTATTTGTCTTTCTGTTTTTTTGTGACCTGACCGTTGAAGAGCAAAAGTTGGAAATTTTATACAATGTTCCTCAATTTGGATTTTTTAATGTTTTCTCATGATAAGACTAAGGTTATAAATTTGAGGGAAGAATATCACAGAGGTACTAATACCCTTTCTGAGTTATATAAGAAAGGTGGTATCTGCTGAGTTTCTCTACTGTAAAGTTATTGAGTCTTCATTGTTATAAGTGAGTCTCTAGATGTATAATCTCAAAGGGAAAGGAATAAAGCTTTGCTTCGTGGAGAAAGAAATAGCAAAAAATGGCCATAAAAACCACCATAGTTATTGGTAAGTTTTGGTTGAAATACTTTGAGGTTACAGGTTTACTTCATAAGGCTTTGTATAATAATTTTAGCATTCATCAAAAGAGCTTGCCTGTGGCAATTACTGTGGTGTTTTAATGGTGTGTGTGTATGTGCTCTTTTGCTTCTACCACACTGCCTTGGGCATATTGTAGTAAGTCTTGAACTGGATAGTGTGATTCCTCCAAGTTTGTTCTTAAGATTATTTATGCACACACAACTGGGTACAGGCCAGAGGTGCAGGGACGGTGAGAGGAATCACAAGAGACAGAACTAGAGTGGGGAGCAGAACAGGCTGACTGACGAAGCACACTGCTGAGGGGAGCAGCAGGTGAGACAGGAGAGGTCTGCCATGCTATGTGTGTCAGCTCTCTGGCTGGGAAGCAGACTTGTACTGAAGTGGCCTTAACTTCAGAATGCTGTGCTTTAACCTGCTGCTCTACCAGGGAGGACCCATAAGGGGAGATTAACATCTTTACTGAATCTTCAAGCCCGTGAATATAAGTGAAATATTTATTTAGGTTTTTTTTTTTTTTTTAATTTCATCCTGCACAAACTGCATGATTAGACTTATAACAAGTGCTTTTTGGTACTATTATAGATGCTTTTACTTAATTAAAATTCGAATGGTTTATTGCTTGTAATAGAATACAATTGACTTTCATATGCTGATCTTATATTCTGCAGTCTTGCTAAATGCATTTTTAATTCTTAGAGTTTGTTATAACCTTTTAGATAGACAAATGCCATCTCTAAATATAGATGACTTTACTTATTTCTAACTGATGTCTTACACTCTTCTTGCCTCATTAGAATAGCTAGGACTTTTTGAGTCAGTATTGAGTAGGAGTAATGAATGTGAACATTCTTGCCTGTTCCTGTTTTCCAGTTTTCACCATTAAGTATGTTTTTGTATATGCCTTTTATTAGAGTAAGGAATAGCCTAGTTTTCTCAGTATTTATCACAGATGCTGAGCTTTATTTTTTGTTTTTTTTTTTCAGCTTTGTTATCTGTACTTATTGGAACAATATATATTTTTTAATTCTGTTAATATGAACAACAATTAGACAGCTCTGTGTTCTCAGATAAAACGTATAAAGGATTTCGTCTTGGGTTTGGTAATTAAAGTCTGCTCATGAGGAATATTGACTGGTTTTCTTCACTCTTTTTGCATTTTATAAGGACAGGTTAATTTATTAGGAAAAGAAGAAAGGAAAAGAGAGTCACTTGCATCATCTTAGGCGGACAGACAGCTTGGCAGTGGTTTTCTGACTTAATGTCCTTGTCTGACTTTCATTTTATATTATTATTAGCTTCATCATATGAATTGGACAGTATATATCTTTCTCTTCTATGTACTCAAAGATACTGTATAGAATTTTGGGTCTCCCTGGTGGTATAGAGGATAAAGTCAGCGCTTTCAGGCTATCACCAGCCACCGCAGTAGTAGGTCCCTGGCCAGGGAGCTGACCCACACGGTACAGGAGACCTCTCCTGTCTTAACCTACTGCTCCCCTCAGCAGTGTATTTTAGTAGATCTGCCTGTTATGTTCCCCACTCTGTCTCTGGTGTATCCTTTCACCCCCTGCACCTCTGGCCTGAACCCTAGTTCTTATGCATTAATAATAAAAATAAATCTTAAAAGAAATATACTGTATAGAATTAGAATTTGTCAGTGACACTATCTGGGCATTGAGATTTTGTTGGAGAATATTAAATGTAGATTCAGTTTATTATAAAGCTGTTTCTTCTGGAGCTTGGTAATTTGTATTTTTGATGGAGTTTTCTATTGTGAAAATGGAAGGGGAAATGTGTAGTATTCTTTATCTTTCACGTTTGTCATTTTTATATAATAGGTTATTTTGCATTTAAATACATAGGTGTTTAACTTCATGGACTTGTATAAACTTATGCACCCCTTAATGGTAAACAATAGTCCCTCGGATGCACCCCTTAATGGTAAACAATAGTCCCTCGGTAGCCTAAGTGTATAGTAAGATTTGTTACTTAGGCTTGTCTGTTGGTACACTCCCTGCTGTTTGCTCAATGGTGAAATCACATTACAGTGCATTTCTGAGAACTTATCCCTGTCATTAAGTGATGCATTACTAAATGAAACTCATTCCCCTGAGTTTAGGAAATTTCATTCTATTATGCTGTTTCTTTTTTGTAATGCCAAGAAAATTTTATTTTTGCAGATTGTTAGCCATGAATTTTTGTAATTAGTTCTCAAATAAATGCTGCTAGTGCCATCATAAAAATAGCACAACCACTTCATGTCCATAATTCACTTCTGTAATGTCAAACAGAAATTTTGAGATTTACGGTTCAAACAGAATATAGTGATTTACATAAGTATATTTATCAGAGAAGTTTAGCAGCCCAACATCCGTAATATCTCATTTTTCAGATAACAATGTATATTTGTAATCATCTTTGATTTGAGTGATTTGAGTTATTTTAACTTAGAAATTCTAAGTCTCCAAAGGATGTTTTCAAATGCTCTTGTAAAAGTTGTTGCAGTGAAGTCTTTCAAAAAATACCTTCCATGTCCATATCCTATTGTAAATTTCTGCACTATTTTTTCTTCTAGCCACTTTCCTTTACTTGCAAAATTTCTGTTCTCTCCTGTCTGCCTTCTCTTCCAAGACACTCATTATCCTTACACCTTTATTTATGGTGTCAGATAAACTTTCTCTTCTTACACCTTAATCTTTTTTAGCTTTCTATCTCAATTTTCTATATTATCTGTTCCCAATGATTTTCATTGTATTATTTTTCCAATTTGCTGAGTTTTTAAAGCTTAGAAAATCTGTTTGGTTCTTTTTTAGAGCTTTGATCCCTCTGGCAAAATACTCCTATTCATTCATTTTACTCCTGAGATCATTGATTTTCTGAATTTTCTTTTAGTTCATTGACTTTCTCCATGATTGCACTTTCGAATTCTCTGCAAATTAGAGAACAGTCTTTTCTATCTTTAGTTCCTAGAGAATCATTTTCTTTTTACAAGCCATGTTACCATGATTTTTAATGGTGTTTGATGAATTGTTCCTAATCCTATGCATACAATATTTAACGCCTGATTTTTGTCGTTT